CTGGAGCAGGGTGCTAGACCTGACCTGTGGGAGATGCACCCAACAAGTGAAAGAAGAAATCAGATAGAAAAAATAAAAAGCAATATGTCTGGTAGCAGTGCTTGCCTGTGCAAGTCACTGAACTGAGTGGGCAGGCCTAAGCTAGGTCACGTGGTCAGGATGGCAGCCCCCAAGTCAGACTACATGGCCAAGATGGCTGCCCCCGTCAGCACATGAAAACAAACAAACAAAAACTCAAGAGAGCAAACAGAAGATGAGGGACATTCCCAGGTGAAAGAAAGTTCCCACTGGGAGACAGATGAGCTCCCCTCATTTACCTACTCTCTGGCAGTAACCGAAAGGTCCGGTAAAATGTATTTCCCATGGGCAAGGCAAAATATGGCACAGATTGCTCTATCCGAGAGCACCCAGAAGAAAGCCCAAAAGAGGTTCAGCAGTCCGAAAACGAAAAATAGACCCAATAGACCAAAAGGCAATGAACTCCAAAATGGAGTGCTGGGTCAGCCCCATGGGATAAGTAAGGGGGTATCTTACCAGATTGCAGCAAACAGGCAGATGAGTGAGTTCCAGAGATCCTTAGTTTGAAAAATGGCGAGTTGGAGTGTACAGAGTCCCGGCATCTCAGGTGGCTGCAGGTAGGAGGAAATGCCAGGAAAAGCCAAGATGGAAAGTGGGTTATGAGTTCAGATTTTAGGATCCCTGAAATTTCCCTGGCCCCTGGCAGGAGAGGTTACAGAGAAAGCCTATCCGGCAAGTAAGCTGCGAGAGAGCTTACGGAGAGAGCCTAAATCATGTGGGCACCAAATGATATGTTTTTGTTTAAATTAGATATAAAGAAAAAGAGGAGGGGGCACAAGATGAGACATATTAGACATATTATTATAAGCCCAGCAGAGTAGGGAGACTAAAGGAGAAGAGAAACAGGGTAAATGGCTGACCGCCATGGCCAGTGGCCATAAAGAGGCAGAGAAAGCGCATAGATGGGAGAAGAGAGTGAAGCAGAAACAGAGAGAGCAAAGCAGGGAACTTGGAACTTTTAAAGGGAAGACTGTGCATGCGCACTGAGGTTCCATGCATGCCCAGAGTCCTCACGCAGGTTGTAAATGTGTGGTGGGTGATGTGGTGATGTCACATCCCTGTGCGTGCCCTGACTGTTGTCAGGGGGCAGGGTCTGATAATTAAAGAGGTAGAGCCGATCAGCATTAAAGCCTGAACCTTTATGCCTGAAGTTATGACTGCTTGTTACTCTTGCAAAAGACCAGGTTCAATTCCTCACACACACACACACACACACACACACACACACACACACACGGATTTATAACTGTCAGTAAACCCAGTTATAAGAGATCTGAAGCCCTCTTCTGAAATTTGTGGGTTCATCAGTTCCTGCATGCATATGGCACACGTACATAATACTCTTAAGCTCACATACATGCACAACAAATAAATAAATATTTACAAAGGAAGATTATGGAATGAATATGCTATGTTACAAATGGATAAATTTGGGGAAAGGACTTTTTGCCACTTTTTCTTTTTTGCCTATTTATTTACTATTATTCCATCAACTGCTATGGAAGTTGTAAATTATTGAAGGATCTTAATTTAAAACACTGTGTACCTGCCAGGCATGGTGGTGCATGCCTTTGATAGCAGCACTTGAAAGGCAGAGGCAGGTGGGTCTCTGTGAGTTCAACGCCAGCCTGGTCTACAGAGCAAGTTCCAGGACAACCAGGGCCATACATGCAGAGAGATCCTGCCTCAAAAAAATATGCCCATAGACATTTTTCTCATGCATTGTATTAAAAATGCATTTCCTTTTAAAGAATGGTAAAGTAGGATGAAAAGTCATTTGTAGTGTGCCTTCTTTTGGGCCACCAATGAGCTCCCAAATCATAACACACACAGAGACTTGTTATTAGTTTTGAATGCTCAGTTTTAGTTTAGACTCATCCCACTAGCTTTCATAACTTATTATAACCTGTTTCTCTTCATCTGTGTTTTGCCTTAGAGCTTTTTACCTTTCTTTCATTCTGTATGACTTACTCCGTGTCTGGCTAGCTGTTCCTGGCTGGCTGAACCTGGGAATATCCCTCTTTCTCTCCCTCACTTTCCTCTTCCCTTGAGCCTAGATTCTTCCTTCTATTTATTCTTTCTGCCTGACAGCCCTGTCTATCCCACTACTACCTAGCTATTGGGCATTCAGTTTTATTAGACTGGTTTTGATGGACTCCCACAGACTGGCTGATAGCTAAGCACATTCCATCCATTCTGGTGTGGTAGGGGACTTGCTTCTTTCACTCTTGGTGGTTGTACTGCCAGAATCTAATGTCCCTTTCCTCCTCAAAATAAAAAGCAAAAAATGGTCCACACAGGTCCCTGATTTATCCTTGGAATCACTGGCGTCCCTCTCTTGGTTAACAGACCTCGATGATGACCCACTCTCTCCCAGAGACTGACTTCTGGATATTCACAGGGATGCCTTTGGACCACTAGCATTAAAGGGTGATGGGTTCTGCCTCTCCATTACAACTGACTTGCCCTTGGGTTGTCTCCTCCAGCATCTCAAAGGGCTACAAGACTCAGACATGAAATCTACTGAGCTCATTCATTATAGTACCCAGGCTTGATCATAAGGGCTTCAACCCCTGACCCTGACTTCTCTGCTCCTGAAACTGAAACTCAAGCCTTTGAACTTGCCAATGAACTGCCCCCCTGAATCCTCTGACTCTTGGTGGTCAGTTGTCTTCCCAACAATCTCCTCCTCTGCCACACCCCACACACATCTCCCCTATCTACCTGGATTTCACCAAAGTCAGACAGGCCATCCTCTATGTCCTTGACTCCTACTTCCCCCCTCCCCTACCTCCCATGCTCAATCCTGCCCACAGTACCTGATGGAAGCCTGTAGCTTCATAGGTCACAACCCTCAGGCACAAACTTCTTAGGGTGATACAATCCCTCTCCTTTCCCCTAGCTACCTTTCTAGGCTTTTCTGTCACACCTAACAATAAACAACTCACTCTAGAACACCTTACCCATCTCTGTTCCGTTCTTTGCCCTCATTGCCAATTGCCTCTTCTCATAGATCCCTAACTCCAGACACTTCCCTATTGCAAGCCACTCCTAGATCGCTTTGTTCCTCCCATCCACAAATAATACCTTAAAGTCAAAATACTCTCCTTTCAGCTCCAGCCCTCTGTCTCCCAGATCTATACAAAGATTTCCATCTTTACACTTCTAAGATATATAAACACTTTCTAGGATCAACCTTTACCCTTGTCTATCTCTCCAAGTCCTTCTTCCCATCCCTATCACACACAAGAGGGTCTTGTAGCTCCTCTGCCTACACTTTTTATACAGATGGCAATTCCTTCCTGTCAGACAGCCACAACAGACTGACCCATTCATTATCAATATTCATCCTCGCCCTCCAGTTCCTGTTCCCTTATTATATATAACCTGTTCTCCACAAATCTCATCTCTCTTCTGATGCTTCTACTTTTCTTCTGCCTGAATGATTGTGAAACATCCATTGCCAGCTGACTCTGCTAAATTCATTAGCTGTCTCAATGTCTCAGACTTCAAACACTCTGAACAAATCCTATACTCCCAAATACAAGACATAACTGACATCAAGCCATATCCTCTCCTCTGACACATACACACTCTCAGGGCCAAACTCTCACTTAGGTCAAGGTCATGCAAAAACTCTTTTTTCAACTCCATTGATACCTCCTTCAATGTCTCACACTGCTTTCTCTGTGACTCCCTTCAGCACCCTCCCCTGGCCAGAGTTCCTCTTGCCTGTGATGCTCCAGTCACTAAGGCCCAAACCCCCACAATCTCTGCTAGGTCTCCAATATTTATTTCTTTAAAATTTTCATTTAGCTGAAGCTATGGAAGTTATATCTTATTTTATATGAATGATTGCAATGTCTTAAGATTTATCTTGTGTTGTAATTGATGCCACTGAATCTAAAGAATATTCTGCTTTGCTTTTATTTCTGTCTTATGTATTCTTATAAGTAACTGACATAAGAATGCCATATTCTCAATAGTAAGTAAATTTGAGAACGGAATGTTGATCTTGTAGTTGATACAATGTTGCTTCAGCACAGCAGTTCATTTGAGTTCATTGAGAAATGTTTAAAAATGTTAAGTCTAACATTTATATTGTCCAAAACAGATGTTCACATATGGGGATATCTTCATCAAGCATATTCAATATTTGAAATGAGAACAAAATAGAGTCAAGTAGGTAAAATGGAAAACCACCTAGTCGTTTTCATCATCGTAGTCTTCATCCCTTTTCTGCATGATCAATTCATGTGCTTTTAGTACTCTTGGTATTGGAGTGTTGACAGTATCATAATCCCATCCTTTTCTCATGAACAACTTCTCAAGGATGCCTGGCATATTGTAGCCTTTGCTTATGATGAAATCCTTAAAGGCAATTGTTCCATAAAGGTCTTCAATGATGTCTGGTTTACCAGGCGTTTCACCTTGAAGTTCAAGTACGTCTTCAGGCTCCATCAAAGGCTCATCATTTACTAGCTTTTTCCACAGATCTAGCTTCAGGTACCATGCCCCATATCTAATCTTATCCTTGGTGGACTTGTAAGGATCATTCGGTCTTCGGAGTTTCCTTTCAAAGTTTGACTCCTGTATGGAGAATCTGATCTCCTTCACTTTGCTCAGCCTCCTGCAGAACCTGAGTTCAGAAGGAAGCAGGCTGATTTTTTTGATGGCAGAGTCTTCATAGCTCGGTTTGCACTCATAACCAATGTCAAATTGCTTCATCATGAAGTCTTCATCAATGCCCAAATCTCCAAATGATTCAACCCATTCACAGAAGTCATAAACTCCTTTGGGTATGTACCGGTAATAAAGAGATTCACCAGAGTCTTGTTTTTTGGGCTTCTTTTCTTGAATCACACCATATCTACGTGACCCAGGAAACTTGGGAGGATCCAGGTCGACTTTTTTGTGAGGGTATTTCTCATGCAGGGTAGGCAGACTCATCGATTTTCCATGGCCCTCACAATAACCCCACTTCTCCTCCAACTCCCGGTCAGGGTCAATAGATTCCAGCACTTTTAATAAGACATCTTCAGGAATCCCTTTTTCCAGGGGCCAGAAAGCCAAGGGATGCTGGCTCATGCTTGCTTCAGTTCTCTCCACAAAGGACTTGCGCGCTTGCTGGGCCAGCGACAGTGGGGAAAACAGCCTTAAGTACTGGCATTGACTTTTCTGACTCTTTCTGGAGCCAGGGTGGACTTCGTGAGAAATTGTGGGTAGAAAGCCCTCTTTGGGGCCACGGAGGATCATACCTTCACAAGGCGGACAGCCCTTCCTGAAATCGTCCAGCCCTTCCTTCACGAACACCCAGCGTCGGCCATCCAGAGAGGTAGGGAACTTCAGTTGTTCCTGTTTGTGCTTCGATAAACACTTAGAAGGCAGCCTGTCCTTGAACCAGGGTTTGCAGGTCATGCCTAGAGGCATTGGCTGAAGTACCTTCCGAGGGCGATTCCATGGCAGCCAATGCTCCCCCATGGTACCCGTGGACCTCAGGCCACTGCCCCAGTCTCAACGGATTGTTTCTTTGGGGCTACTCAGGTTGCTAAGAGACAAGGCCCATGTGACTGAAATTCTACTAGAATGGGAAAAACCAAGTACTCCCCTATCACCCCCCACCCACGGCCTGCAATGGATCCTTCTATTGTTGGCCAATGACTCAATACACTTCCTAACTCCACTGTATTAGGGGTGGACTTACCAACTGTTTCCTTCTTGGACTATCTCAGAGAATGCTTCTATGAATATTGTATTCACATCTTTGCGTGTACATATACGTTCAACAACAGTGGATTTTCTACATATACGTTCAACAACAGTGGATTTTCTGACCTATGAAAAGGTATTTCTCCATTTGTTTATGTGTTCTTTTATTTGTCTTGGAATTATTTTGTTGTTTTTAGTGTATGTCTGTCACAATGTTTTCTGCCCTCTGGATTTTTCCCCAGAAATTACATAATTTTGGTACTGTTATGAGCTGCATTGAAAATAAAATTTGAGAAAATTTATTGAGAATAAATTTTGAGAAAGCATGTACTCTACTACTTGCTTCCTGATGATGAATCTGTCCTTTTCTGAAGAGTAAAGCAATGCCTCATTATGTTAACCAGCCTGACTCACATTCTATCCTTCTGTTACCTTTTGGCTTGATTTTTGTTTGTTTTGTATTGTTTTGTGTGAGCTTTTGTTGTAGTGGCTGTTTATTTTGAGACAGAATTTTGCTCTGTAGTTAGTGTTGGTTGGCCTGTGTGGCAGTTTGAAAGAAAATGGCCCTCAAATGGAGTGGCACTATTAAGAGGTGTGGCCTTCTTGGGGCATGCGTGGCCTTGTTGGAGAAAGTGTGTCACTGTGGGGGTAGACTTTGAGGTCTCTTTTGCTCAAGCTTCCCTCAGTGTTACACACAATTCACTTCCTGCTGCCTTCTGATCAAGATGTAGCCACCACCATGTCTGTCTGTACACTGCCATACTCCCTGCCATGATGATAATAGACTGAATGTCTGAATCTGTAACTGAGCCACATCCCCCAATTAAATGTTTCCTTATAAGAGTTGCCATGTTCATGTCTCTTCACAACAATAGAAAACTTAAGACAGCATGAAACTTACTCTGCAGAACAGGTCTGCATCAAACTCTTTCTCAAGATGACTGGAATTACAGGTGTGTACCACCACACCTGGGCTTGTCTTGTTTTTACAGTTATTTTCTCTTTACATATAATTTTATGGCAATAGTTTGGTTTTTTCTACCACTGCCTTGAAGAAGCAGATGTACTCTTTTCTCACTTGCTATATTTTATTTTTCAATTGTTATGGTTTTGTTTTGATGTATGGATATTTTGCCTCCATGTATGTGTGCCTGGAGTCCAGAAGAGGGTATCAGATCTCCTAGGACTGGAGTTACGATTGTTTGTGTATTGTTGTATGGGTGCTGGAAAAATCCAGGAACAGGAGCCACTGTTCTGAACCAATCCCTGACCCATCTCCTCAGGCCCTTACTAGCAGTATTTTAGACGAAAAGTTCAAAGCTCTGGCTTGTGTTCTTTGTATAGAAACTGTCTCACATCCCCTTTATCATAACAGATACGCTTAGAGGACTTTTGTGGTTGCAAAGCACTGCAGCCTGTTATCTTTTTGGGTGGTGCTTTTCCTACCAAGTTGCATATCTTAATCTCTTAAATTTAGAGAGTGCAGGATTTCTGCTTGGGTTCCTCCTTTCTGAGCTATGGTCTAAAGTCATTAAACAATGGAGGACAACCACAGACCTTATTTCACACATTTCCCATTTTAATAAGGCATCATTCTGCTGCCTCATAGCCAGGGCCTTGCAAATTATTGATCTATGCATTTTTCTCTATTTTTCTTAATCTCAAGGTTAAGAGATCTCAATCTTTTGGTATATATTGATGAGAAAAGAGACCACAAATTTAACTGATCCATATGCTGATTTCTTTCAGGTCACAAAGACATTTTAAGCATCAAATCCCTCATCATATACTGAATTTGAAAGTGTGTATCATACCTATGTAATTGAAACCAATTTAGTCCCTAATCTATACCGCTGTCATATCATTCCTTTGCCAAATAAAATTCTTTTTCACATAAATAGGCAGAACAAATTAGAATCAGTGGTGTATTTAGAAGAAAGAAAAAAAGAACATAGGTAGGTTGAGAATGGGATGGATCTAGGAAGGGTTGAGGGCAGTGGGGTCAATATGATCAAAACATTATATGAAATTCTTAAATAAGTAAAATATTAAAGAAAAGCTAAGATACTTTGTACATGTTTGACACTTCAATTGAGTGATAAGATTCCCAGGCTGGCCTTGAACTTAATCTGCAGGCTAGGCTAGATTTAATATCCTCATCCTCAAGCCTTTAATTCATAAATAATAAGATTGCAGGCCTACTTTGAGGATTCCAGTTTTCCAGTACTCTCATAAACATGTATATTTACACATTTGTACATTTTCCATTTTCATGTACATGGTGTATAGGTGTATACGAGAAAAAAAAAAGGTATGGCATTAGATGGGTGCAGAGGTAGGGAGACCTGAGAGGAAGTGAGGTAGGAAAATTGTGACAGGAATATATTGTATGAAAAAAATGTATTTTTAATAAAATAATAAAATTAAATTTAAAAAAGAGAAATTCAGGAGAGTTGATTTTGGGAAGGCATCTTATCTTTCACTGGATATTATCATTTTTTCTAGATTCTTATATGCAGAGTCCAGAGTAAATTGGTTGTCTATGCTCTACCATTTGTGTTACATGGAGCTATGCTGGGTTACTTCTCCATTTGTTCCAAAGTTCGTGATTGAGGAGTCCATGGCAAAAGGAAGATTTAAAAGAAAAGAATATCAATGTATTTAATGTCCATGTTATGTGACCTGGTGTGCTTCAAACACAAACACACAAAAGATCAAGGAAACTTATATATTTTGCACAAAGATCTGATGTCATGACAGTGATAGAGAAGTGTGATTGGACAATGAGAGTGTAATCTCTTTTTAAGAAACTGGTAGGAACTTAGCAAACCTTTTTTTTCAGATTCTTCTTTGTATCCCTGTGTATTCTTACAAGGTACACACACACACACACACACACACACACACACACACACACACACACACACATATATATATATATATATATATATATATATATGCAAAACACTCAGACACATAAAATAAATAAAAACAAATCTTTAGTAAAGTAGTTTTAAAGTGTAATACTTTTACGTAGTGTATACTGAATCTATCACCATCTACAAATACCAGAAAATATAAGTGGTGTTTCTTTTTTTTTAATTACATGATCCTTTATAGCTATTTCATGTCAATCGAAATCACAGAACTAGGCAGAAAGTCCCAGGCTACAAGTACAAACAGTGCAGCACCCCCCCCGGAGGCTGGG